TCTTGTTCATATATCTGTGACTAAGTTATACTCGGTAAGTCATTTATGTATAGAATGAACAATAAAGGGCCTAAAACACTCCCTTGAGGTGCCCCATAGCCATTTTGTGCCCCATACCCACTGCTGCAGGTTTTTGTTGATGCGCTGCACGCGATCTTTAAGCTGCGCGCGAAAGACGTGTTCCAGGTGAGCGTCGCCATATCTCGCCTCCAATGCCTCAAGGAGTTGCTCATAAGTCACTTCCTCACCAAGAGCTTCCAGAACTGTTAAGGCCTGGTCGCGCAGGCCTAGTGTGAGAGCAGTCATGGCCTGACTTTTATTCCAGCCGTTCGCCTTCATAACAGCCTCGAACTGGATTTTGTAGGCTGACCAGGAAGAGGTACCGTCGAACGGTGTCACCTTGAACCCACGTAGCGAAGGTGTTGTAGCTACTACGGGAGCTGTAGCTCCATCTCCAAGTTTGAGTTCGTCCTGTGATTTCTTCATGTCAGCCATTACGTTGTCAACCCGATGGTTTACTTGGTCGATTCGGGTTTCAGCTTTCTCGATTCGGTTCGCAGCTTTCGCGATTTGGGTTTCAGCTTCCGACAGGCGGTTGTCATGCTGAGCAACCCTATCCTTCACCCCCTTTATCTCTTCCCGAAGGTAGCGTGAAGTTCCTTCATGAGGAGCATCTGCTCTTCCAACTGACAGGCCTGTTCCTCTTGTCCGCCCCGCAGCTGCTCCTCCAAACGACGAACCTGGTCTTCCTCTCGGCGGGCTTGTTCCTCCTGTCCGCCCCGCAGCTGCTCTTCCAATCGGCGTGCCTGTTCCGCCTGCTGGCGAGCCTGTTCCGCTATTTTGCCTGTTCCGTTATTTCAAGTATAGTAGTAGGGATACATTTTTTAGTTATTACTTTATGTAAGATGCACATTTAGTAATTTATTTAGCCAATAAAAAGACTGCTAACAAGTTTTGTAATTATTAAAAATCCCAGTATATGTATGTTGGTCGCTGTTAGTTGGGGTAGAAAAAACAAAAACTTTATCTTTTAGGAGTAGCCTTCAGTATGCCTCTATTAGAGTCGTTATTTAAATTATTAAAAACTTTTGCTGTATTAGAGCGAGCTCAACCCCCCTGCCACACCTCGCAATCCAGCCCGTGTACATCCGAGTTCACGCCCGCCCATTTCACACTGTTCTTTTGGTTGCTATACCAATACCAAAAACCGATATGATCTCCGGTGGAAAGTCAGTTTCACTTTCACGAAACTAGATCAAAAGCTCTCGATAAATCCAAAAAAACAGGAGTAAATTGGCGTCTTCCTAGCTGTGTAGTACTGTACGGTTTGCTTGAGGCACAGGATTGCAGTTTCTGTTGGCAAGCTGTGTAGTACTGTACGGTTTGCTTGAGGTACAGGATTGCAGTTTCTGTTGGCAAGTGCGACCTAAAGCCAAACTGAGCATCATGTAAATGAAGATGTTTACTTAAATACTTGTCAAGCAAACCGTCCAGTACTTTCGCAATAACAGTAGCCAGCGAAATTGGACTGTAGTTAGATATATCAGAGGCATCACCAGTTTTATTCTTTATTATTGGCACAATTTATTGTATGTATAAGGTTTCAAGGTAAGTATGAATGACTAACACATAGGTTAAGTAACAAGGTGAGTAACCTAGGTAAGTGAAGCCCAGCATATTTCAGGAGTTCGATGCTTAGGCTATCATGTCCAGGAGACTTCCCTCTTGCCATTTTTCTAATAATAGAAGCAACTTATTTTACCGAAAACCTTACTTTGATATCTCCATGGATCTGCCCGGCTTCGAACATCTGTTCTGTTTGTATCGAAGGGGACTGTACTTTGAAATGATTTTGAAAAGCATTAGCAATATGTACAGAGCTGCGTACACCTGCAACACTCACAGGGAATCTCATCACCTTCACCTTAAGCTCGTAACAATAATATTTCACCATTTTGTAATGTTTCTTTTTGTCAATAATTAAAAAATGACTTCGCAGTACTAGGTATTTACCGACGGCAGCGTGGCTATAAATTCTACAAATTTTCAGGGACAGGCGGGCTATGCATTAGCACGTAGCGATCGTTCTCCAGTTCTCTAACTTCCATGGTATCCTCTTAGTAATCTGTGGTTGGAGTTTTGGCGGGAACTTGGCCGACGACGGACTGTCACTCCTGCCGGGCTAGCATGAGCAGGGGATAAAAATTTTATCCACCGATTATATCCACTGACAAGGGATAAAATTGTCTTATCCCTATGTCAAAGCTTTATCCACCCTGCGAGCATGGGCCTATGGTGGATCTATAATATCGACAGTAGATAAACTTGTCCCCGCGCATAGATAATATACCATAGTATAAAGCTATAAACTATACTAGCTATAAACTAGTTTTAAGATTAAGTAGATTTACATTAACTTATATTTTCTTAATAATGGTTTGAAGTGGATTTTAATTCGTAAAAGTGATGTGATTTTGTGAATTAAGTTTCTGTGCGTGTGAACTACGTTTTTCATTGCAGTTTTCTAAAAATGATGTCTGCCAGAGATTGTTCAAAGTCTGGTTTAGATTAGAAGCCAGTGCTGTTGCCACAGTGGGCTGTTTATTTTGCGTTATTAGGTTCCACTTAAGATTTTTTTTCAATATTTCCTACATCAGGAGTTGCCACTGTCTGGCCTTGAACATTTTCTGGGTCGGTAATGAGGCAAACTTATAAGCTATTTTTTATAGAATAAGGGTAACCAAAGAGCTCATAATCCACCAGACAGTAAGTGGATTTTGTAGTTCATAGACATTTTCGTACATCGTCAATTAAGAATCAAAATGCAGATGAGTTGTGATCCCTTAGAACTAAGATGAAATGCCTTTGGATCTCCGGTTCTCGACATTCACCATATGAAACTCACTACCATTAAGCTGCTATTTCACAATAGTATTATGTGAAAGCATGGCCCTCCCCCGATAAAGTTGACCCATTTGTGCGACAAATATTATATGGGTGCAGCATTACTCTACCACGTCGAAAATTTAAGTAAAGTAGAATGTTTATTCCTTACACTGAAAACGTGATTAAGGTAAATTTTATCGTGGTTTATTTTAGATTTATGATTTTTGTTCATCATCATCATCATCATTATCAAGATACAGCATTTTACAAGTTTACTCCTAATTACTTCATCTTTCAACTTCCTCGATGTAATTAAAAATAGCACTGTATTTAAATATTTTATGTTTTAATTTTTTATGTAAGGCCTTGAATAAAACTGTTTTTTATTTGTTTTCTTAAAATTCTGTATTACTCTTAGATAAATAATTATTTTTTCTATTATAAGCTCGTAGGAATTTCCGTACGTGAAAAGAATTCACGCATACAACAATAGTAAAATTAGAAGTCGGCATATGTGAAAAATTATCACAGTACGAGTGTTATACACGTGACGCGTCAAGTAACATGAGTGAAATAGGCGTACAGTGTTTATTGTTGATAATTGATAGATTCAGGCGTTACTTTGCGGAAATCCATTATAATAAAAAATAAAAATATAAATTTCTTCGCAACCTTCCGCTAAACAAATACAATGATGTGTCTTACCTGGATTGAAGAGCACCTCCCGCCCTCCCTCAATTGCATGCACTAACTCAGTCACCACTAGTCCCAGCACCACTACTCCCAACACCACTATTCCAGGCAAGACACACCATCGACGATAATACGACACGTGTTTCGCCTCTACACGAGGCATCTTCAGGTAATGTATGTAATGTACCGCTAAGCGGTCAGTCGCCGTAGAGTCTACATTACCTGAAGATGCATCGGGTAGAGGCGAAACACGTGTCGAATTTTCGTCGATGGTGTGTCTTGCCTGGAATAGTTGTATTGGGAGTAGTGGTGCCGGGAGTAGTGGTGTTGGGAGTAGTGGTGCTGGGACTAGTGGTGACGGGATTAGTGCACGCAATTGAGGGAGGGCGGGAGGTGCTCTTCAATCCAGGTAAGACACGTCATTGTATTTGTTTAGCGGAAGGTTGCGAAGAAATTTATATTTTTATTTTTTATTTATTGTTGATGTCGTGTAGTATCACAATCATATTTACAATTTGATATGTAGGAATAATGTAACCGCTTAACACGGCGAGCTAAAGGCTAAAATACGTAACATTGAGCGTAAGGTGGGTGTAGGAAACCCGGATAAATATCGCAGATATTTAATACCTTAATTCAAATTATGATTTTATTAATTGATGTTGATGTAAACCTCAAGTTAATTTGATCGCTTGGGCGCCTTATAAACCTGAGTAGCTGTCGTCATCAACAGTCCGCTGGTTTGAGTTGTCGTTAAAATCTCCCAAAAACTTCGCAGTGTGATGCATCAGCATATTGTAAAGAAAAAATATATAAAACTAGCTTACCATGCAGACGTTGTTCTGCCCTTTTCGACGACACTTTGTCATGCCCTATTAAAAATTCTTATTTTCGCAAACAAAATTGTGGGACACTCATGAGCAAAAGAATACTGTCCTATCTCTCAAGTTGGGCCAAACTACACACGGTGTGCAAATTTGATTAAAACCGGTTAAGTAGTTTGGGAGTCCATCGCGGACAAACAACGTGACACGTAATTTATATATTATATTAATAAGATGAAGATTCTGAAAGAAATGATAGGCTCAGAAGGGCTAGTTCCCAGAGCCGTAAAGCCAGTTAAAAAAATCTGTCTGTGGTTGTTATTGTCATTTGTTTGTCATTGTCAGTTGTCACTGAATGTCACAGACAGTAAATCTGTAAATCGGTTTAGTTCCCGGCTCACGGGTTTTTGTTTTTTGTTTTCTTTCTAATATATTAATTAATAAACACAGTTTACCTGTTATATCTAATAATCTTCATTTTGATTATAGCTTGTATCCTGTATTGATCTGATCGGAACTCCTTAGTATAATTTCATTTTCTTTATGAGTAAATTGAAAGTGTCTGCAGAATGGAAGAAACGGGTGAAATCGGAATATATGAGACTACGCCAAATGAAGGTACATATTTTTGTGGTTTGGTATTCTCAATTTCTTTTCTTTCATCCCTTTTTATGTATTTAAGTTTTACTTTTCACTTGATCAAGTATAATGAGTGTCGTTTATTTAATATTTCTTGCAGTCTTTCATTGTTCCCTTTCATATTTAAAAATCTTTCAAATTTTCAGCGATTCAAACGTGCAGACGAGGTGAAGGTAGCATGGGCGCGAAATTTAAGAATTATGTCCGAGGCAATAGAGACACGCGAAACAGAGTGCGCCGAGCGGGGTCGAAGGCCTTTTTGGCCTCCTCCAGCACCCAGTCCTAGCCATGAAAGTCTAATGAAACGAGCTGAAGTTACCTACACTGATGGTGATTATTTTAAAAATAATTCTAACAAGCTCTTACACTATTATTCTATGATTTATTCAAACATATCGATACCATAGGATAAAAAGACCTTTTATTTAATTGTTATATGATTTTTTACTTTTATCATGCCTTAGTTATAAATTATGGTTGTTTTAAAAAAACATCTTCGCTTGCAAATTTGGTCTATAAATGTTTTATATGTGGTAGAGCCATGCTGCAGTTAGTTATATTAGTAGTATAGTTGTAGCATGAATGGGTAGGCTCGACCGGGGAAATACCACACTCTCACAGAATACCAGCGTAAAATAGTAGCTTAATGTTGCTGAGTTTCATATGGTGAGTGTGGAGAACCGGAGACCCATTTTATTGGTAATGAGGCATTCCATCTTAGTCCTAACGGGTGATTGGGGATTGATGTAGATGTTTATGGGCCGCAGTAACCACTTAGCATCAGGTGGACTGTGAGCTCATTTGTCACCTTTATCCTATAAAAAAATGAAATCAATAAATATTAGTATTTGATTCAATTATATTTTTATTTGCACATAAACCCTTATTAGGAAGTAACCATTCATGTTTAAAAAGCAGTTTTGTAATAAGCTTTATACTGGGTTCAGTGGTCCCGGTAGAGAGTACTTGTACTTCAAATTAGGATGTGACTCCCTAAGTGTTAACCATATCTAAAACTTGTAGTAAAGTCCAAGTGATAATTAAAATATCTATGACTACTGTTAACTTTGTCAAAGATACAAAATCATCTACCTCAAGTAATATCAGCAACAGTAAGTTGAGGTGTAGCTCTTAGGCTATTCTAAAGCTACAAACATTTTATCGTATGACAGGAGGGACCCTCCACACCATTTACATGGTAAGTATCTAATAAATGCTTACCAGTGTGTAGAATAACATAAAAATGTAGCAAGTAACTTAACATTATTATTATTATATTGTGAAAATCTTGAAATCACAGGAAGCAAGATGTTTCATAGAAAAGCAACTCCCAACAGGGTAGTTTTGGACAATTAATGACATCCCTACACACTTTTCCACATCTTTCCCCACTCCTTCAATCTCATATTAAAATGATTTATTTATTTTCTAAGGTTTAACTTAGAAAACTGAATGATGACGAAATTTTTAAAATTGCATATAGAAAAACTTAAGTTTTCACAGGAGAGGAAGTGCAGGGGGAGGGTCATCACCCAGTCACCCCTCTCCTGCCACAGGATATTAAAGCAATAAACAACAAAGCATAGTAATAGTAGGAGAAATAAAATGCAATTCCTTACAAAATTTAAAAAAATTATATAAAAGTAATTAAAAAATAAACTGGTTCCCCTCACACTGGTTTTTTTGTGCTGTATTATGGAGGCAGTTTACATAGGTAAATTGCACAAAGACAAATATCCAGATCTGGAAAAAGTATTTGTGGCCTAAACAAATACTTGTTCCGAGAGGAGTACAAACCCATAGCCCCCTCTGATGCAACAAAATGCTATGTTTCTGCATCACAGAACCATCCTGTCTACACTATCACATTGAATTGTACCTTTCAATAAATACCCAATGTTTTAAACACTTGAAATCAGAAATCATCAAGTGTAAAACACTTGAAATCAGAAGAGTAGCATCTATAGCTGAGGGTAGTTTTGCATAAATAGAAAATATTATTTTAATAATCCATGTAAAAAGTTAATTATTTGGTCCACTCTCTATGTAACATCTTAGGCTGCTGTGTAGCTTGTTAATTTTTATTACAGCATCAGGAGTTGTAACAACACAACAAGTGCCTATAAGAATAATAAACTCTGTTAACCCCATTCCTACAATGTACACTTGGGCACCAACGCAGAAAAACTTTATGGTAGAAGATGAAACAGTGCTTCATAACATTCCTTATATGGGTGATGAGGTCTTGGATCAGGATGGCACATTTATTGAGGAGCTCATTAAAAATTACGATGGAAAAGTGCATGGTAAATAATTTTAACACTTAATTTTATTCATGGGTATTGCATGTATTATTTCTGTAGAATTTGTGAATTTTTTAATACAGTGGTCACCATTATTAGCTCAACAGTGTATTGGTTTGCATGGACCCTATTTTATGGTAGAGATAATTGGCATGCTTGAAAGAGATAATGAAACTAACCATATATTTATAGTACAATCTATATCTACAACTGTCATGTTCTTATATATGTCCAGAGTTTACACTCTAAAATTATGAAAACTGACCATTTGTACCACTTTTAATAGATATATAACAAACAAATTTATATTACAAAGAATTAAAAAAAAGCCAGTCAATTATCATAATCCTTCATATATCATTTTTGAAATAAAAAAGATTGGTCCAGTTTTGGCAGTGGAAACAAGAGTCTCTCTCTGTTGTCTAGCATGATCATATGACTACAGCATGATAGGAATTGAGCAAAACCCATTTTTTCAAATATCTTGCAGCCCAGATAACCTCTTAAGTAACTTAATGGTAAAACAATAAAATAACAGTAATTGAAAACATTTTTATTTTCATAGGTGATAAAGAAGGAGGGTTTATAGATGACCAACTGTTTGTGGATTTAGTTCATGCATTGATGACTTATCAGACAAAGGATGAAGTTGCTGAAGAGAAAAAAGAGAGGGAGTTGCGTAATTCTAAAGAAGAGAAAGATGTAAGTACTTAAAATCCTGCATTGTACATATTTAGTAAGGAATGTTAAAAGTCAGTTTTTCAACAGTACACTTGCTGGCATTGAGGTTCTCTCGTTGGGAGGTTTTGCCTTAATCATCACATTTAGCAAAAATTTACCTATGACCATGTTCCTATCGCCGTTTTGCGTATTTTATTATTTGACCAACCGAGCTACGGATTTGTCATTGGTCCTACGAGCCGGATATGAACCAGCAATCTATGGGTTACTGACTGGAGTGAACCTCAAATGAAAATATTGTTTACATTCGATAACCCTAACCTTCACGCGCTATCGCGACTCTGTCGAGACATTGTCGGCATTTCCCATGAGTTCAATAGCATTGAAGAAAGTTCTACTAACCTACTGTCCCTCGTGTTGATTATTTATGGCTTGGACTGACTGGTCCTAAGTAGTGGACTGTTATGGCTTGGAGGTTGCCTGGAGAAGGCTTAATTTTTAACTGTTTTTTTATTAAGTTTGATAATTTTTGTTACAGAACGATGCAAGTAAAGAGGCTAAGGAGAAAGAGAAAGAAAAGGAAGAAAACAAGGACATTGAGAAGAAAACGGCCAGTGACAAACAATTTCCAATATTCACCATATTCCAGGCAATCAGCTCTCAGTTCCCTGACAAGGGTACTGCCCAGGAGCTCAGAGAAAAGTATGATTTTTGTGTGTTTATTATTGCCTGTTATAAAATCAAATTAAAAGAATGGGCTTTTGCTAGCTAAGTTAGTTTGATTTATCATGTAGGGCTGTCACCACTTATTACCAGAGCTCTATATAAAAGTTACAGTTTACAGTTGTATTGCATTGCATTATTGAATATAAAAATTTATAATTACATAATTGTCATGGTTGAAAATTAAAAAAAATAGAATTGAAGCTACGATTTTACACATCTCTTTTCAATACTTACAATGTTTTTTTAACATTGAAAAGAAAAATATGTAAAACTTAACAATCTACAAATTTCTCAAAAAAAAAACTGGTTTATAGTTACAGGTTTACTAATTTCAGTTACAGGTTTTAATAAACATTTACTTTACAAATACTTAGCAGTGTTACTTTTACAGTTTTGTAGCTTTATCAATGGTATTTACTTTATAAATATTTAGCAGTGCTACTTACAAATACTTATCAGTTTCAGTTACTTTTACAGTTTTGTAGCTTTACCAACGATATTTACTTTGCAAATATTTTGCAAAGTTATTTACAAATAAATAGCAGTGTTACTTTTACAGTTTTGTAGCTTTACCAACGGTATTTACTTTGCAAATATTTTGCAAAGTTATTTACAAATAAATAGCAGTGTTACTTTTACAGTTTTGTAGCTTTACCAATGGTATTTACAAATATTTAGCAGAGTTACAAATAAAAAGCCGTGTTACTTTTACAGTTGTGTACCTTTATCAATGGTATTTACTTTTTAAATATTTAGCGGAGTTACTTACAAAATACTTAGCAGGGTTTCTTTTATAGTTTTGTAGCTCTACCAATGGTAATGGTAATGATACCCTTCACAAGTCTACTGCTGAACATAGACCTCCCCCAACGAATGCCACAAAGCACGGTCCTGATCCACCTGCATCCATCGACTTCCTGCATGTCTTACCAGTTCGTCACTACATCTAGTGGGGGGTTGTCTTACACTTCGCCTACTGGTATGAGGCTGCCACTCGAGAACCTTTTTTCCCCATCGGTTGTCGGTTCTTCGAGCTATATGGCTGGCCCATTGCCACTTCAGTTTACTAATCCGTTGGGCTATGTCAGTCACTCTGGTTCTACTGCGGCTATTCTCATTTCTAAGTTTATCACGCAAAGAAACCCCGAGCATAGCCCTCTCCATAGCTCGCTGAGTGACCTTGAGCGTCCTCATATGGCCAGCAGTGAAGGACCACGTCTCAGATCCGTAAGTCATCACTGAAAGTGATTAAATAAAATTAATAATATATAGGTACGTAGAGCTGACATCCCTACGCGACCCGGACGCTTTACCTCCCGAGTGTACGCCCAATATCGATGGGCCCTTAGCAGAGTCTGTGTCCCGAGACCAGACCATGCATTCCTTCCATACGCTGTTCTGCCGCCGCTGCTTCAAGTACGACTGCTTCCTGCACCGTGAGTATGGCTTCTCACCCTCACCGAACCTAAATCCCCCCAAATGTGTAAAAAATTAACGAAATGGGACATTGTTTTATGTATATGTTATGGCTAAAAGCCGAAGTGCGGTAACACCTAGTTCCAGCCAGCCAGAACTAGGTGCGGCCAGCAGTAGTTGGTTAAATTTAGGTGTACTGTTAAATTTGCAAAAAATACGGAAAAACGTATCAAGTGACAGTAGGTTAGAGTGCGGTTAAAGTGGCCCTGGGCCAGCTTAAAACTGCAGACATTTAATTTATAATTTTTATTAAATAAAAAATCTATAAAAAAATCTATCTATAAATTATGTATGGTACATCTACTGCAATCAACTACACCTTGTATTAGCCGGTTACACCTAGGTGTACCCACACATCGGCTATTAGCCGTAACATATATAAATACACTACATATTGAAGAACTTTTATTTAAAAATTAACTTTTCAACGATGGTGAAGCTGTGTAACAATCTTTTTAACAAACTAACAAATAAGTTCACCTTAGTCCCAACTAGAAACATCTGGTGAATGTAAGATTATAAGAAATTAAATGAAATATGAAATTAAATGAAAATAACCGCTCATTAATATTCACTTTAAAACGATGATCTAAAAGACTATCTGTCTTATTATAAAACATGGTTCTTTGGAAGTTTTGGGTTTCTTTTTTCTTTATTTAGGGAGTTTCATTTATGAACATGTCAATCCTAATATAACTAACTTAAAATCTATACATTTACCGTTAATCTGCTCATACTCCATGCAATATTGTAGGTACTACTATCATACACATTTATCTTCTATGTCCTCATAAATAATTCCCTTGCTCCTCGGTTCTGCTCATATTCCATTAAAAATGATGTAAGTCTTTGTCACAAGTTTCACAATTAGGTAAATCAGTTCTTTTTCATCAGATATAAATAATTTTTGACAGAATATGACCTGATTTACTGACTGACCTAAATATTAGTTTTCAGTTTAAACGAGAATTTAAGAAGAGTTCTTACAAAATTTACATTGCTGTCAAATTCCATACTTTATAACGCCCGGTACTTCTGTATTGAATAAGTCAGCCTCTAATTTAAACTTGACACTAAGCATAAACTACTTTTTGTAATAAGACTATAAGCATTATTTTCTTCAATTTTTTGTAAAATAAATAAATTTTAATATTATGGTTTCTTATATTTACGCGAACACTATACATTGATTAAAACTACTTTTACGGATTTTATCGCGTTTATTTATTTTATTTTATATATTATTGCAGTTTGCGATTATATCCTAGATGGCCCCAACCATTACATCATATTTGATATACCACAAATCCTCGCGAAAGAACATCGATTTCTACCAAGGATGATATGTGAGTCTATTGAAATTAAAAAACATCCTAATTTCAATAGAGAAGGAGGCTGGGTACTACCAAATGCTTGGGATCGTATAATTAATAAAATTAAAACTAAACCCAAGCATACCACTGCAAGACTTCAAAACACAGTTAGTTCATTCTGCGTAGATCGGACCAAAGACAATAATTAAAAAGCTGAAGGTACTCCGGTTAACTTTGACATCGGGACGTCAGTCATCTCAGTCCCCCGTGACCATAAAGGAAAGCACCCGAAACGTCGGGTATTAAAAATAAGATAAATAAAACGCGATAAAATCCGTAAAAGTAGTTTTAATCAAAATTTTAATGTTGCTATTTGTGGAATACGTCAATATGGCTGTTTAGCAGAAATATAGATGCTATGTAATGATATCTGACTTTATATGTTTAAAAGAAATTTTTCTATAAAATTAATTACAATGTTATTATAATAAATCGATAGGCACACACACACACACACACACAGACACACACACACACACACACCATATATATATATATGTATCTTTATTTTTCCACTTTAGAATAAATAAAATTAATATTAAAAATCTTACGTGATCTGTATAGTGTTAATTCATTAAATATGTGAATATTGTGTTACATAGGGCTTACTAGACTGTGTTATTCTGTTTGGCTGACAGGAAGTCAGACCTCAGGTAAGCCCTGTCATCTGAAACTACCATAGTTATCCCATCGACCATCTTTATTTTTGCTAATTTACGGCTGCTGTTTCTTTATTATACAGTTCATGTAAAAACTAAAATAACTAAAGTAAAAAATGTTAAAAATTCACCTTTAAGACAATTGGTGTTGTCAATTACTTTGCTCAGTTTGTTTTTTTAAGCGTTCCTTATTTAAACATCATCTCCCTCGATCAATTATACCATTATTTTTAAATATTTATTTGTAGTTCTGTGTTGTAATTAATAAAAATAAAAAACATCTTTAAAATAGAGTTTTAAAAGTTGTCATAACAAGTCCACCGAATCAATGATTTAATGTGCATTAGTGTTGCAACTTTGGTGATATAAATTGTATATCTAATATAAAGTGTTTATATACTCGATAAAATATATATATATATATATATATATATATATATATATATATATATATATATATACATTTTATATCAGATATAGATATATTTATATCAGTAGAGTTAAGATATTATATATAAGACTTTGATTGTGTGCATGTGAGTACATTTTTATGAATGTTGTTGTGTGACGGATAAACGAACGCGAGTATGTCAACATGGTCGTGTATAGGTTATTCAATTAATACCATCACATCATCAGTCCTCATTGTTTGGACTTAAACAAAGTTGACTTCTGTATAGCATAATTTAAAATTGTGGAATTATCACGTCGGGGTTTGATAGATAGATATCGTTTGCCAGGCCAGCTAGTCTGAAATAAACTTCAAATCACGTTGATATAGTTAGTAATAGTGCGCACATAAACGCGTTTTCTTAGTAACATTAAATAAAATCAGTGTTAGATTGTCGAAAAGAACGTTCGCGGTTTATAAAACAAAGCACAAATCTTCGTGCCCGCTCGCAGTCGACTAGTTAGAAAATCTACCGTAACTTAGCGCGCAAAGTAGTGCCCGTCTAGTAGTTTGCATAGAGGGCTTTAGTTTATATTGGACGTAAAATTAGAACAGTGACAGGCGGTATCGTCCAAAGGTGCTCACGTCTGGTATTGCGAGCAATAATCCGTTTGCTACACGTTATATAATCATAATTAAGGCAAATCGCCCCTACAATGGGACAAGCCTATCCCCAACTGTGGGCTTCTACAGGCTAATGAAGGTGTAAATGTTCACATACTGAGAGAATTTACGTTAGCTGTTGTTGAATGAAAGAGACTTTAAAGGTTGTTCAAAACTTGTGTTCTATACAATTAATATTATACTAGGTTTGCAAGCGTGCCACCCTGGACCGAACATGACCAAACGGAAGGGACCAGATCTGAAACCATTCTCTGAGCCATGCGGTCCCAGTTGCTATATGATGTTGGTAAGTAACTGATTCCTTAGTTTTTATGTCACACAAGTCGAACATTTTGATGTTTGACAAACATTTTAAATTCTTACGTGGCTGCCTCATTGATCTAGTGGTCGTAACCCGCTTGCTGTTCACAGACGTACATAATAATAGAGTAGCAGAGCAAACATTAATCCATAGATATATCTATAGAGATGGGCACGATTCTTTATCCCTTTTTTGCTAAGCGACAAGTCATAAACAGTGTCTCTTTCTGACACCTGTTGTCACACTGACACATAAAAACAAGTAAAGTTACAGCCTATATATGTCCCACTGCTGGGCACAGACCTCCCCTCATTTCTGAGAGGGTTTTAGGGCAAGGAAGTGTGCGCCACGCTGCCCCAATGCGTGTTGGCAAACTTAACATGTCTTCGAAATATTTTTTTTCTTATTCCTCAGACATGCAGGTTTCCTCACGATGTTTTCCTTCACCGCCGAGCACGTGGTAAATCAGCACTTAAAATTGCAATTGACAATTTTATTGGTGTCGGCGGGGATTGAACCCGGGTTACTCGCGTTCTTTTATATTTACAGCGAGCGTTAACCATCTGAGCTACCACGGCTCTACTTAGTCATACTCTACTGACACATACATAGACAAAATTTGACTCGTAGCTTGTCCATCCCGCGCCGCCATATAAGCAACATCTACAACATACGAGGGTGACACTGAAAGATCTTAGAAAATTAAAAACTGAACAAACTAGCAAGTTATTCGTTTTATTATATATTTTCAAAATAGTGTCCATTTACATCATCATACATCGCTGCATCCCATGGAACCACTGAGAAAAGCACTTTGTCCACTCGTCCTTAGGGGTATATTCGATGTCATTTTGAAACGCAGCCACTGCTTCCTCGGTGTCCATAAAACGTTTTCCTCGAAGTATTTCTTTTATTTTCGGAAATAAATAAAAATTGCAAGGTGCGAGGTCGGGGCTATAGGGCGTGTGACCCAGTAATTCCAAGTCCGACTTCGCCAAGTAGTCGATTATTTGCTTGGCGGTGTGCGACGAGACGTTGTCGTGGTTAAGGAGGATAATACTGCGAGGTCGTTTCTCCCGAACTTTTTCCAAGACACGTGACAAACAACTGTTAGTGTATCACTCTGAAGTAACTGTTTTTCGATCCTCTAATACAATTGTTGCGTAGGGACCTCTCCTTCCAAAGAACAAGGCCACCATCTTTTTTCCCACACTTCGACCTCTCTTCACTTTAGTTGGCAACTCCTCGGTAGGAAACACCCAGACAGCAGACTGTCTCTTAGTTTCAGGATTATAATAATAAATCCAGCTTTCACCCGAACTATATCGAATGTATGTCGAACACAGCTTTTGAGTCACCTCCATTAAATCATTGAACCGTTTCACGACACCAATCAACACGACGGAGTTTTGGGCCTCTGTCGAATAATGAGGTATCCACTGGGCACAAAGCTTCCTGACCGCTAAATGTTCATGGAGGATTTTGTGCACTTGACTCATAGCGATGGCTAAGCTTGTCCGAATCTGCTGATAAGTCACTCTTTTGTCAGCCTCTATCATACGCCGCACAACACTGATGTTATCTTTAGTCGTCGCCGTAGAAGACCGTCCCTCACGCAGATCATCGGTGAGATTAGTGCGACCACGTTTAAACTTTATTAAACCAGCTGTAAACAGTGCCAATCGAAGTCTATCATAAATTTCTTGTTGACTTAAATGACATTGAAAGTCATAAAAAATCATTGTACGAAAATTATCTCGCGTTAAATTCATGCTGACGTGACACAGACAATTTTCAATTTGGCGCCAAATTGTAAACAAATGACAAATTAATAAAATACATACCTACACAATAATATTGGCAAAGAGTTCCATTTTCAAAAGCTGAACTTATTTTTTTATTACATCGTTTATAAGTGGCCAGTTCTAAAAACTTTCAGTGTAGCCCTCGGTTGCTGGTATTATTTAACGATATAGAAACAACCGATATTATTATTATTATCTGGTAATAGGCGAGCAGCTTATAGCTGATATGCCTATATCTGTGTTGGTGTTTTATATTAGTCCAAGTTCACACTAGGAATACACTAAATTGGATTGTCTTTACACCATTTGTCCAATTTGTTTTTAAAACTAATCACAGAGGGAGCATCTACCAAGTCTTGAGGCAACTTGTTTCATATGTTTAAGATTCTGTTGTTTAGTGTGTGATGTCCCACTACTTATACTTACAGAAAATCCGCAAAAAATCGATATTCTCTGGTTATAAGAAGTGAAGATTACTTATCAATAAAGTCTTAACGAATGCAACAACATATCTTCTCCCGTGGTTATTGTAAAAGGCGAATAAAGGAGTATTTTAAGAGGATGATGGACGGCAGTCAACTCTCCTCCTTTGACGTTTTTTTTCTTAAATGTGGCATCTCGTAGTTGACCTTTTGAAGTCGGGACTACTTAAGCGGATTATCCTGTGGGCTGCCTTAAGGTGAAAGCGCCAGGATAGCCCGCGAAATTCAAATTTTTGTTGGTTCTGCGCCTGATCTTCAGGCTGGCTTGACGTTCCATCGGACAATGGCAGTAAAGGAATAGAAAGTGCTTATAGTACAGATGGCTTATTTGGTCTGGAGGACATTATTATTGTTATTACTTTCTCACTTCGGAAAATAGTTTTCATTTATGTATCGTTATTCACAGGAAGGTATGAGAGAGAAATTAGCACGAGAAAAGGCAGCGGGTGAAGAAGATAAGGGGAAGACTCATGCCATGGACTCTCCCAATGATGCGTCCTCGGAGGACAGCAACGATAGCAACCGGTTCCAGAAAGGTATTGTACTGTCCACGGTTCCATTATCTAGCTAAGTCTTATAAGACCTCGGCCGCCTCCACAGCGCAGCAATGAGTTGCAGCGGTGAGGGCCGCGAGTTCGAATCTCTCACGGAACAAATATATATATATATAGTTATATTCGCATGCCCTCTAAATAATTATTTCCGGGTCTGGGTGTTTGTCCTTGTAAAATCCACGATACAGTATAAATTTGAATTAAGATACAGAATTTCTTTTAAAAAGAGAAAAAATGTGAGAAGTCGGACTATTTGACTCGGGTAAACATACTTGTCAACAAATATAATTTTTACGGCTGCCTTTACGGCGCTGAATAGCAGATCTATGATGCAGATCTGCTATTCCAGTCGAACTCACAAATTAGTTCAAAGAAACGAAAAATACACTTTATAACGCAGCATTGCATATCTGCAGCAAAGCATTCTATCGAAATAAATACCAACATTTGCGATAGATAGCGCTATTTGTAATTTTTGACCACTCGAAGTGACCAGTCTACGAGAACCGGTTTGTGTAGTTAGCGCGCGACTTTCGTTGTTGTTTTTGATTAGTTATTTTGAATATTGTAGTGAAATTGCTGTGGAGTAACGGTAAGTTATTGCTTTTACAGAGATAGTTTTGATTTTTGTTTTGATGCAGTAATGCATCGTTGCTCTAAACGATTGTAATTTATTTCTTTATTGCTCATGTTCGAGTTCGAGAATTCCACGTTCAGGTCCTAGGCTTCCGATTTTGTAGTCCGACGACTTGGAAAGCATTTTAGAACAATGGCAAGATAGTGAGGATGGCTTAGATTTCTCAGACGACTATAATGTGGCTAATCCATCGTACGTATTGGAGGTGAATGAACAAAATTTACGTCAAGAGTCAGATGAGGAGCCCGAAGTTCCCTACCCAGAAGATCAGGACGATTACATCTTGATAACGAACTCTGAGACTAATACCAGCGCTTCAGCTCAACCATCTTAGACACCGGCTGCCGTCCCACTACCCAGTACCAGCTCCGAAATTGGAACCACACCACGAAGCACTCATGTTCCTAAAACAAGTATCATATGGAAAACTAACAACTTAGAGCTGAATGAAGACCAGATGAGGTTTCGGGGATCATCCAGTTACCAAATGAAACACTGGAATCAGAGTTGCCATTTCAAAAATTTAAGTTGCCGTGTTTTGGAATAAAAACTACAAAATTGCCGTGTACATTTTTATTTTTAAATTAACACGTAAGATTAAACATGACATAAAAACATTAATCTTCACGGTCATTATACAAATTTCTTATCGTATTCAAAACTTCTTCTTCGTCTTTGTTCAGTTTATATTTATTATTTTCGTTCATATTGTCCATCATTTGTTTAGTCGGTTTGAAATTTACATAATTTCCTTGGGATCGGATGAAGTTCTTAGCTATTAAAGTTAAATAAAGTAAATAAACAGCAGTATATCTTTTCTATATGTATCTAATGTACTTAAAAAAAAACGAAAGAATGAAATGAATACTATAAACAATGAAGTGTGCGCGAATGTATTTCGAATTCGCGTCGGGATTTCCCCGCTCAGTTTAGTGATGTGCGTTATAATGACTTATTGACTACCGATAAAATTATCGGACAAAATTAGTAACCATTGGATTGCCGTGCTTTAGAACACGGCAATTAATATGCTACCATGTACCGTGTTTTATTGCTGAATAAATCCAAATTGCCGTGTAACACGGCAATTGCCGCCGACGAAGAAGACGCCTTATCAGGTATTTATTTATTCACTGACGACATTGTGAATCTGATTAGAGACGAAACTAACCTGTACAGCGTGCAAAAAGATGCCAGTAAACCTATAAACGTCACAAGCCAGGAAATAAGGGAGTTTGTTGGAATCACTTCATGTCCATAGTCCATCTGCATAATGTGTGAATAAACATACATAAATAAACATACTAGAGGCAAGTACTACATTTCAATGATAATTCTAAAATGCTACAATATGATAAGCAAAACTCTGATAGACTGTATAAAATCGGGCTCCATAATAGAAAAACTGAACAGTAATTTTGGAAAAGTGCCACTAGAACAACATTTGTGTTGATGAACAAATGTGTTCAACCAAAGCACGGAGTGCTCTAAAGCAGTATTTGCCAGACAAACCCCACAAATGGGGCTTCAAACTGTTCGTGATTTGTGGTGTAAGTAGATACGGTTACAAGTTTGAAGTTTACAGTGGCCAGGAGAATATGTGCGCAGATGGCGAGCCTTAATTAGGTGCCTCATCCAATGTAGTGGTCCGACTTGCCAGAGAGATTCCTGTCCTTTGACCTTTGATGGAGTTCTTATCACACCGTGGTATATAAGCTTTTGGCACCGTTAGGAGAAACCGCATTCCTAACTGTAAGCTCCCAGATGAGAAACAGCTGAAAAAAGCACCCTGAGGCACGTCAGTCGAACAGGTTGCAAGCTATAACGGTATTGACATATCAGTGGTGGCCTGAAGAGATAATAAAATTGTGAACCTAGTATCCAATATTGCTGGCAAAAATCCCACATCTGTCGTAAGTAGATTCGACAAGTCGCGAAAGAAACACATCAATGTGGAACGGCCTTTTATAGTGGCAGAGTATAATCGTCACATGGGGGTTATAGACCTTATGGACTGTGTAATGGATCACTATAAAATGAAACTTCGTAGCACGTAGTTCGTAGCAAACGTTGGTTTATAAGACTCTTTTACCATTTTCTGGACATGACCATGACTAATTCTTGGTTATTAATAGAAGGATTCATGCTGACACTGAAAATACTGAGAGGCTGCTAAGTTCTGCAGATTTTCGACTTGAAATTGCTGAAACATTAGTAAAATATAAAAAGACGAACCGCCTGAAGCGCACCAGTGACGTGGAAGCACTCATCCAAGACAAAAGTAATAAAACCGCCGAAAGACGTTCGGCTAGACCAGTTAGGGCACTGGCCAGTTTGGACGGAAAAAAGGCTTCAGTGTTAATTTTCAGGCTGTACCGGAACAGCCCAAACCGAATGTGAAAAGTGTGGCCTAGCCTTATGTTTCAACAGCAATAACAACTGTTTCCGTCCTTTCACAATTCGTAAGTTATGAAAGGACGGAATCCATTCACAACTAACGTTAGCTCGATGTGCATTATGGTGTGAAAACAGATAATGTTTTCACACCATGATGCACATCTGCATCACGTTGTATTTTTCCAAAAATAAATACTTTTTTTACATATGATTTTTTTATTATTTTTCTCATTATTCTATCGCTTGTCTTAACCTATTTTCAATGAATAAAATCAAAAACTCGTTCTTGCACCGTAAAGGCTTCAAAAAACCCGCTTTTAGAATATCCGCTGTAATTCCATCCCCGCCCGGAACTTTGCCGCTTATAAGGTGCTGGGGAGCCATTCTAATCTCGTTCAGACTGACGTCCGGGATATCATCGGAATAGTGGTGGATAAAACTTGCTCTTGTATCGTTACTCACACTTGCGTGTGGTTCTAACGATGTCGTGTACAACTGCTCATAGAACCTCTAAATCACACAAATCTTAGGTGCCACACTCGGTCTTCAGCTTCGACAGTTGCCTCTTTTTTATTCTAAGACTAAAAATATTGAGCTTTTTTATATAGGAGAGGGGGGCAAAAGAGAATATGCTTCACCTGATGTTAAGTGACCCATGAACAACTGCAACACCAGTGGAATTGCATATGCGTTGTCGGCCTTTTAGAAAGGAGTAAGTAGTTACGTTGTACCAGTTCTGGCGCACTTGTAGAAAGGTTGTACCAGTTCTGGCGCACGACGTTCGTCGACTCACAATCCTAAAAAAAAAAAAAAAAAAAAAAAAAGTTTTGGCATGCTCTGATCACGAATCTGCGGTCCATTTTTGCGTAGGATGCACGGTTCCGGAGATGTGCAGATCAATTAACTCTTATCTAATTGATATCCGCTGCGAGCCTCAACCGTCATTAGCGTTCCATTGTCCTTATCTACTTATCTATTGTTGAATAACTACCGTCATTATCTATTATTCGTCCAGCGTGTGGGTCGGCTTATGCTATTGTATTATACTCCTTTGTTCCTATCTACAACACTAATCTGAATCATCAATAAAACACATTACCTAATTTTGTTAAAATTTTTATTTATAAAATACAAAATCTTATTACTTATTATCTATAAAATAGGAGCGAAACATCTCATCCACTAAAATATCGTTGTACAATGTGTTCTCTGTAAATATACTCGTAAAACTATGCATTGAACATCCCTGAAACTTATATAGCAAATACATTAAGCAATATTCGCCACAAACTGAAGTCCACTCATTCTGAATCCTATCAACATTCCAGTTCCATCTTTTACAATTTCTTTTAAAAAACTCTAGATGATATCGGTATCTAATGATACAGGTGCCCGTCCGAATGAATCAAAATATTGACCGACGTCATTCGTATCGATATATAAAGTTGCATATTATATACGTTGGTACGTGGGTGTACATGGGTAGTTTATTGGCAGCATAAACATTATTTTCTAGAGTGGGGTGAATCTTTTTCAGATGTTGTTGTACATCTAGTGTATCCATAATATTACTGCTATTAGTAGATTATTACAGTACCAATCTACTCAATGACTAATATAGGAATGATCAATTATAGTGATATCTAAATATTAAATTGCTTTCTTTGTGTTATACAAAACGTATTTGAGTCACCAATACACTGAACAAGACATGACAGGAAGGACGTAGGAATGTAGAGATAACCAACAGAATGTAAGGTAAGCTTGTTGACGCATAAAGATACTATCAATTCTACTGCAGAAATTCTTTAGATTAGAATTATTACTCACTGGTACTATATAAGACCAACAAATGCAGTCATGGAGTTAGTGTATGGTCGTTTGACCGCAGTGGATCTATCAATACTACGTTTGTGTTACTTCAACGCATCAAAGGCCATGGATGTAA